CAGGTGTGAACAACAACAACATGTGTTTTCCTTCTGAGGAGACATGAAAGACAAACCTCCATCAGAGAGAGTTGGGAGATGGGAATATTTAAAGCAAATGAATAAATCTGACAACCTAACTTAATCAGTTTATTCTTAACAGTTCACAGAAAACTCTGAGAAGAAGTTAGCTGTGCTGAACCATCATTTCATTAAACATCCCGTGAGGTTGCCTGGAGAAATTCAAGAGACACCAGTCTCCATCTCAGGTCTCCATCTCTTCTTTTATGGTTCATGGCAGTGTAATAGTTTCACTGTACCTCACTGTGCATTAATGACGAATCACTAAGATCGGTGTCCTGTTGTTTGTTTTCTTTTCCAGATCTTCCTGATGCATGGAGTGAAGTTAACACACTTCGTCTGGCTTACAGCACACCAAAGGTACAACAGAGCCTCACCCATCTGTAATGATGATTAATAATTGAATGGATTATCTGCCAGTAGCTGATACAAGTTGTAAAAGAAAGTTATTTTTAATCTATAAAATGTATCTACTCGGTTAAAATGAAACCATCTGGAAGGCCATGAGGGGGCGGGGCCTCCTGTTTCAAAAAGAATTCTGATTGTATAGAAATTATAAAATTACTTGTGACCTCAGTAAACATGTTCCTGATTCATTGTTCGAGATTACAAGCGCTACTTTAGAGTCTTATCGAATATAACACAATGTTTATTGTGTCAGTTATCGTCTCATTAAAAATAAATGAAAATAAGATAATAAATCAGGCTGTGCTTTGCGGTGTGACTACACTGCTTGAAGAGTATCGGCCATGTGAGCGCGTAGCGTCCCATAAACGATGTCTCAGTTAAACCCACATGTCGCACTTCACATCTGGTCAAGGCTACAAAACAGGATTATTTGACTAAATAATCTGACAAAACAAACAAAGTGATTACAGTATTCATAAGTGTTTTTGCTCTCTGTTTGTACAGGAAGGACAACCCAAGTTCTTCCTGTTTGCCCTGTCGAGTCGCAGGAAAGCCTACAGCCATTTCTACTGCCGGAGCA